TATGTATGTATATATATTTACTAGGCTTAAAGAAATCTAAGTCAAAGTAGGCCTTTTACGTAGTTATGTTCGAAGGTTTTTATATTGATTTCATCGAAATGAAATAACCCTTATTTTTGTGGCTAAACGAGAATGAAATTTGATATTTATATCATATAAAAATTTATGAAAATGAAACATGTTGTCCGGAGATACACTTGAGGTCATTGACATTTTTTCTGACCTCTGTTTGTTATTTGCAATCGTTTCGCCTTAGAATTACCCACAAACCTCAATCAAGGGTAATTAACTAGCTATATGCCCACAGATGAATGAGTTTCTATTGTGCCAGTGATGTGTACAAGGAAATAGATTGTAATGAATATTATAACTTGGGTAAAAAATTGGTCTCCTGTGACTACACTTATGTTCTAAGTTGTCACTTGTTGAAAAAACGTAGTTCACATGTCTGTCTTGGCGGTGCTCTGTATAGCCAATTACAAGTAAAATACAAAAACATCACACCACCAATAAAAAATGTTTAAAAGTGTGTATTTACAGTTCCATACTCAATTATTTGGGTTGGAGTGCGCCCTCACAAATGTTAAAATAGTGAGATAACGAATAGAAATTCTATCGGTTATAACTACTGTCAAGATGTTTCAACTGCTACTTACGGTATTGGTAGGCTATACTTAAAGCATCACTCATAGATTTAGGTCTATTTATAACGATATGTTATTATGCTGCGCTGATCATTTTAGGCCTGTAGTGTTGGGAGCGGATCAAATACTGTACTTGTCAGATAGACAGACACTACACACTACAGAAATATTGTAGAGCAAAAACTAGATACAAACTCTGAAAATCATTAGCTATTTGAACGTAGAAATTTTATTTCTTTTTAAACAAGTGATCGTACAAAAACAACGTAGACTTATACTGGGTTTCCCCTTCTGTATTCACCGTTTCGTGTTATACATTCGATTCCAGTAGGCCTACACAAAACTATTCATAAAATGTATTGGCTTCCGATGGGTAGTCGCAAGTAACAACGCTTGCTTGTTTTTTTCGATGGATGGATTGATGAGCGCTACATATGTTCATATATTGTATTTAGTAAACACTGATTTCATTTAGGCTATCTTTACAATTATGCCTCTACGTTTTTGAACGCAATTATGTTGTGATAACATGTACTGCATTTAGAGTCGCTTCTTTCAAAGACATAACGCAAGATAAATTTTTCCTTTAATTTTTCCTGTTTTAACGACTACTAAGGTTGAAATAACGATTGAAAAAGCCTAAAAATATTCAAAATAACAGAACATATGTAGATGTACCATATCGTAGACCTAATGGACTGGGATAGCTCTAGATTTAATGTCGTTACCGGTACAGTTAAGATTTTTTTTTCTAAAACATGTGCATCTTATGAAAACAATAATTTACAATATAGTATTTACACGCTGTTATATATGGTTTTGTATCTTCGTTGGAAAACATCAACCGAAGTTATGTTACACAGCCCAATAAGCCTAGGCCTGGTTTAGTACGGAACAGGCTTAATCCTCATTCTTTAACCATCCTCAAAATTTCGTCCATCACTTTAAGCTTAATTTGATATAGGCCTATATTGTTTGGCCTACATAACACAACATTAATTTCACATGTTCATTCTGACCCTATTTTAATCAATACCATTGTATTAAAATTATGGTAATTTATTGTGTCAATCGTAACAATAGTATATAATATTGTTTTGTTTTTTTCATATTGTAACAATAGTAAAGACTATTGTTTTTTTTTCATATTGATATTATAAATTGAAAATTATTATAGGCCTATTTCATCAATCTGCCCATCATTAGAAATACGTAGAACAACATTTACAGATTAATATTTGATAACAAATATAATAATAGTAATGATAATAATAATAATAATAATGATTATAATGATGATGATAATAATAATAATAATGATAATAATCAAGGCCTAATAAATAGGCCTAATAATACTGTAATAATGATAATGGCAACGATGATAGTCCTAATAATAATTAAATAATGTTATTAATAATAATGATAATAATAATAATAATAATAATAATAATAATAATAATAATAATAATAATAATAAAGGAAATACAATATATTCTTTAATTTTAAAATAAGACTGTGATGCCGACAGAGGATTTTAATATTCCTAAGCTAACACTTAAACATGTATTTTGGAGAAAACTATTGTGTCCAAGAAAACAAAAGAAATCGATGTACAGTATATTGTTCTAGGCTCTAGACATTGCAATTGCACTTTAAATTAAATAATTTGCATAAACCATGACAACAAACACTAACCATAGGCAGATAATTTTTTTTACCGCAATGCCTTAAGACTTCCCGTTGGATACAGCAACATTATTTATAAGTTACAGTCCTGGTTTTGTGTAAACTCTGCGTTATAGGCTACCATAGGCGTATTGTACTTCCAAAACGTAAAGTCTGTTTTTCAGGTTTTTCAGCCTTTAGGTATTGTTGTTTTACTGTCTAAGTGCAAGTTGTCGTGTGTGTGTCCATTAAACGAACAACCGCTAAGAAACATGTACAGTACTTTATGGCATGTTCCATTTAGCTTCCTCTTTACCTGGCGGTCTGGCTCGATCTAGCACAACCACATTCTATGCTCTCTGTTTCAAATATCTTGAACATTCGTAGATAGGTGGTATTACGTCATCAGTAGCTTATATAAGTCTATTTACAAAAAAAATAAATCATTCTAGATGAAACTCTTTGTTTTCGTGGTCATCCTCTTCTTCTTCCTCCTCCTCATCTTCTTCAACTTCTTCCATTTCTCCCTGCTGCGTCTCCAGTCTCCATCGGCTCACGTGATGGGAACCTTTCTTTTTCATGTCTTGTTCCCCTTCCTCTTCCGCTCGAATTCGCTTATATTTTGTTCTTCGATTTTGAAACCAAACCTTCACCTGAAATTTCAAAATACATAAAAACGTTAAAAAATGATCAATTATTAGATTAATAATTATTATTGTATACTTAGACGACAACTAATAGTGGAACATGATGATTAGGAATAACAAATCTCATATGTAAAGAAGCGTATTCCACGTACGATAATTCTTACATGTTAAACATTGAGGTGGTATATTCTATACTCTATTTCATTCACTAACACTTAAAACAGATCATTTAGTTATGAAAACAAATGGGCACATTTTTGTGGTTCTAGTCTGTCACGTTTAACTTTTAAGTATTTATATTCAAAGGTGTTGATAATTACTTGCGATTTAGTATACTTTTCCTTATCATGATCACTTTCGCGATCTCAATGGCGATAAAATCGTTTAAATTATCCAAACGATTCATTCAAAACACGTTATATGCATGAAAACATGTATCGCGTCAAAGAATATACAACACACAAAACCGCTCAAGCTATACATGTATTCTATTAATCTACCCCGTAAGGGGGTTTTTTTTTTTACTTCTTTTATTTTTTTTTCACGGTAATCACCAAAATAAAATAAATAAACCTGTTGTCGGTAAAATTACAAGCGAATAAAAATCAGCAATGAAGTTAGTTATCAATAAGCGCGTTTGGTTTTGTTCCCTTTGTACAAACTCTTCTTTGAAGAGAAGCCATTTAGCTTGTATTGTGGTTAAGCCAAGGACAGGGTGCAAAACAGAAACGTCAAAATAAGGCTACAATTAACTTTTTATTCAACCCAACAAAATGTTCATTAATCGGATTTTTATGGAACTTCTATTATGAAGAAAGGAAAATAAGTTATGCCTCTAGATACGGAGTCTATACTTAGCATACGACGTTATTGTACTTTTCTTCTTTCCACACGTTTTAAAAAAATCCAACTTGGAACTTTTCTCATAAATTCTTAACGTCCCGATTTTTTTTTGGTAACATGAGATGAAAATCAAGAAGTTTGAATATAATCCATTCCCCATGGTTTAATAAAAACTGTCTCATTAACCATGTTAAATTTACTGAAATAATTTCTTGCTGTCAAGACAATAGTATTATTAAGAGTCAGTCTTTATTCCTATTTGATTCGCAGTTCATGTTAACCCAATAGGCGTAGCTAAATAGGAGTAAGCATGCAGCCAGGCGAACCTAACCCCGTAATATTCCCCATATATGCCCCTTTCCAACGGCCAGTTATCCAGGTGTATATAATGCGCCTATATGTGGTTTCTTTATCCTAGCTCAAAACCACGCATTATCCGCTACATTTCGCTAAATTTAATTTGTCTATTTTTCACTAATTAGTAACACGAAGTGTATTTGATGCTGTGTTTTGTGTACAAAGCGTCTATATGGTTAACTGCTATCGTCACGGACAATTTGTCACGCTTATTGTGTGCTTTACATTTTCCCACACAGTCTGTTTTATGTTCACCTGGCCACTACGCAAATTGTAAATTAGCTAATTTTCTCGTGATGAAATTCATGCCGTCGATACCTTTGTGATATCTGATTTTATGATTTTGAAGTAGGTTCACTATATGAACTTATTTTAAAGAAAATGAAACTTAGGCCCTATACGGTACCAAACGAATGGGATGTGGTACGGTAGTAATTCTTTAGCCTCGTATTTTATATATGAGTCTTTCTTTAACATGTAATATATACCAATAAAGACCTCATAAATTTAACAATCTCAACTCCAATGAAATAATATTATGGGATATAGAAGGCCTATTTGATTTTGACTTTTACAGATTTATTATTGCTTCCGGAAATAGCGACGCTAAAAAGTGTAAGTTGCCTTTCATTACACCTATACTACCATGTAGGCCTATATGTTTGACCCAATAAATTATGAAGGTAGGCCTATTTTTATATATTCTTATTAACAAGCATACAACAACTCTCTGTTGGAACTCAATGAAGACAATGTCGTATTTGAACAGGCCTACGAAAGGTGTGAATATAGTTTATGGAGGAAGAGAGATTTGATTAAGATTCTAAAAGCCTCTCTAAGCGTTCAGCTAGGCCTGCTGAAAAAAACAGAACCATGGACTGAAGCTTTTTCTACGTATTGAGAGTCAATTGAAAGAAAGATAGAGAGCTTAAGAGATTTAATTCAGTGAGACAAACAGTTCTACAAAAGCTTACGCCAAATGAAAAGAAAATATAATTAAGAAAAGATAATTGCCGCCGATTGTACCCGTTCTAAAAGTCGTAACACCTTTTCAGCAGGCTACTGCGTCGATCTTAAACCCTACCAAAGCCGATCGAGACACAAGAATGATATTACAAGTGACCACAACGGCTAAGTATGCTTAATTGTCCATTTATATTCATTCTTTTTCTCGAATTGCTCTTTAAATTAAAAGTGAACAGATTTCGTACTCTTAGTTTCCATAATCAGCAAATAATTTGCGTAACTATTAAGACACCTGACTTAAACAATATAGCTACAATATCTTACAAATAAGAATTTAATTGGGGAATCATTTAGTTCTGGGTACAACTTTTTTTATACTATCGAGTGATAATCAAGAAATTAATCGGTACTCCTACGGACTTGCCAAATCACATATTTAACTCCTGAACTGAACGACCGCAGTAGCCCATATCTGTCTAGATGAATTAGAGCATCACGATTATATTATTACGATACAGAACATCATCTGCGGTATTTTACTAAGACATATCGCTATTGTTAGCATTAAATGATTCCTAAAATATGTTTGAAAAAATGTAGTGTGTGATGTCACATTCCAAAAATAATATTTCGAGTTCCTATGTCATACTTTACATACGGCAGAGCCTGAAAATGTTTTAGGAGGGTGACTTAATAGTTTAAAGTGCTCTACGTCTAATTCCACGACGATCGGGCTCAATTCCTGCAGATTTCTTGAGTTTCCGAACCAGTGGCGTACCGTATATAAGAGTCTGTAATGGGGTGGAGGGGGGAGGGGGCTAATTAGGTTCACAGAGTTGAAGTGCGGAGGCTGAGGGATCGATGATTAAATGAAAGGGAACTGGCTCGCCAAATATGAGGGGATTTCTTGCCACTGTTCCGAACGCCAATATTACTCCTCATTTTAAGAATCTTAACGAGACTCTCATTATCATAGTAATGAGTGACAAGTTGTTAAGATGTTTGCTCCGATACCATGTTTACCCCACTGACAACAAATTCGCAAGGGGTACAGCTGTGTTTCCAGGTAGTGAATTTTCAATTCAACGTAAGTTCCCCTATTTTACCACATATTGGCAATTATCAAGTGGAATTGTCACGAAACTGGTTTATTGTGTTTCGGAAGGGTACGGTACCTTGCAGAATATATCGGATATACAGACGCAATTAGGAAATTATATTTTACCGTTAATGGAATCATTACGATCGATAATGATGTTGATAATGTTTCCTCATATTACCGGTTATGATACAGAGTTGATATATAAGTTCAAGTAATACTGTATACATGCTGTTTATAATGGTTTCTTGTGCCAATGTAAGATACTAACAATAGAAGAACGTTATAATACGCCTAACGTTACAGTTTGCTGATAAGAACGTTATTTTGTAGAACCATTATATACGTACTTATAACCTAATTTCACAACGTCACAACGTTTGAACGTTGTAACATCGTTATGTGAACGTTATTTTGTGACACACCTAACCACAACGTTTGTGAACGTTCTAAGAACGTTTTGTGTTTGCCTTTGTTTCATTGTCCATTGGCAAAATTATGTTCTTAAATCTAGAATGTTGAAATTCAAACTTGCTTACTGCATATTGAGTATTGTTGTCATTTTCATTTATCAATCCCAAACTAGGCCTAATTGGAATCGATTGTTTCTTCAATTTTTTGACATTTGTTTTTACATAATTTTGAAATACTCGGAATAATTACCGATAACGTAATTGCGTGTAGGATATACCTTATTACTAATTATTGTCTTCTTAACACACTGTAATGTGTTTTCTCCCCGACGAAATAAAGATGCATTTAATGTTGATACTAAGGAATGGCTTGGGTCCGACCATAATGACTGTTAAACCACAAATGTTTATTGCCACCATATCAATTGACATCAATCAATTCAATTTAATGATGCTCTCAAGACGCAAATTCACATAATTACTGATTAATAATTATTCTAATGGAGGTTATTAACCCATTGGCTGACATTAAGTTTAAAAGGGAATTCCAGAAATGTAAACTGCCGATTATAAACAGGGTAGATTTAGCTAACAACCTCTTGATTGAGCAATTACAGGTAGTTAATTTAGGGTAATTACTCAATTTGTTTTCTCTGAAGATGTAAACAGAGTTTCGTTCACAATTGAAACTCGTCTGGACGACGTAATCACAGTCTGGAGAAAAAAGTGATTATCAAGAATTCTGTAATTAACTTAATTTACAGTTGCGTGATACTGGGGTAAAATAAGACTGTAATTTGTGATCGTCCTTGGGGGAGCACTAACAGTGTATTATTACAGATTTTGTTTAAGCACAATCTAAAGAAATCATATTGTATCAATGATCTCAGCAGACAAATATAATCGACATTACAAGTAATCATAGCCTCTAATTAAATTAATGAAAATTACCAGAGTTGTTAATCAGTTATCATTAATCATAATCAAATTAAAGGAAATGTTGAGAGTGATTGTGGATTTTAATTGCCCGTGGTTTAAGAGGACAAGTTACGATAGTCAATAGGTCTAGTATAAAATGGAATACAGTACTGGAATTAACTTTGGCACACTTTACGCACTGCCTGTACTTTCCATTTTGTGTCCCTATTTTATAAATGTAGTTGAACCACACTATGTGATAGTTTATGTAGGATTTTATACATTAATATAATTATTCATTGCTTGTAATTAATATTATATTCATTGCATTATTCTGGTTGCTGTTCCCGGATTTTGTAGGCCTATACAGAAATGATTTTACATTGAAAACTTACGATAGATGTTGGCATATGGCAGTGTTTGACATTGGTTTGACATGTGTCTTTTATGGCTGTTCTATTGAGCATGATATTCAAATTTTTGAATAAAACGCTTCAGAATACAATATATTATATATTGTATCCTGAAGCGTTTTATTAAAAAATTTGAATATCATGCTCAATAGAGCAGCCATAAAAGACACATGTCCGAATATACAGAATAGGAAACGAATACCATACTTTATATAGACACTTTATTGGAGAAAACCAATATTTCGACGTATTCTTAGGTCTTTATAAAAGTACATTGACATGCCTAAAGATAGGTCGAAATATTGGTTTTCTGTAAAAATAGTGTTTCTAAAGTCTATACTTGGTATTCGTTTCCAATATTCTATATTATAATTAATATTAACAATATTAGTCACGAGGACTCCGTACGCATCAGTCTGTCAAAGATATAACGTCATGAACACCTGAGTTCTCACCTGCGTTTCTGTCAGATTTAAAGTAGCAGCAAGTTGTTTTCTCTCTGCTCCTACAACATAGTGATTCTTTTCAAACGCTTGTTCCAGCCTAAGCAGTTGCGATGGCGAGAAAGCCGTTCGTATTCGCTTTGGTTTCCTGAAAGGGTGCTGAAGAAATCCGAAGCCGGCATTTGGTAATTCCACTCCTGTTGATATAATTCATTTTCGAGAAATTTATTATATAAAATCTTATGAGAAATCTTGTCAAACAAGAACATGATACGGTACGGTATGATTATATTGACATCATAGCTTGTTCCTATACACCGATTGGTGTTTTTCTGAATAATTAACAAATGCTTGACTATTTTGTATACGTTTGTTAGGCCTACGTCATTTTAATAAAAATCATTCTCGATTGCATAGACTTTTTACTCGTTTACCGCAAATTATGTGCACTATAGTTTTTTTGGTTAATATCTATTTTACGCCTATTTTGGGCAATTTTTACCCGTCCTCCATTTGGATGCTCACTTTTCCGCATACGTTACATCATACGCATATATATCCATTCCAGAGGCGGATCCAGAGATTTCTAAAAGGGGCCGATCGAGATAAAACCATCCTGGGGTTCAAGGGGAGGAGCATTCCCCCACGAAATATTTGTTTTTTAAAGACGCCCCAAAATAATCTCTGAGGCGTTGAGGGCGACCAATTTTTCTTTCTTTCTTTTTTCTTTTATAATTAAAAAAAATAAAAAAGGGGGCGGGGGGAGAGGGCGGGGCCGGCTCACCTAACTCCACTTTTGAGTTCATTCGAGTAATGTCTAGTAGGCCTATACTTTTTTGTTTATATCGTTCCTTACGTCTTCCGGGCTAGGATAAGGTACTGTATATCATTTTAGTATCATCATCGCTTTCGTCCGGAAGACGTCTCCAATTGACTGTGTAGGCCTAGATATTGGCTTCAGTTCTTCGCTGTATGAGTCTAATGTGAGGTTTAGGATGACCTAGTTGCTTTTTTATGTTATTTTCATTAGGAGTTATTATTAACCTATTACTGTTGTCCCCATGCATTAAACTTTTAAAACAACATAAGAATAGAAGGAAGATTTTTACGGAAGAAGTCGAACGAATTTTAATCGTGTGGCTATAATCGGCCTACTGTCCAAAATATACTAAACTCTTGCCGGGCACTCTCTGCGTCGACCGAAAAATCGAACTCCGCTCATTGTGAACGCGCAGACGACGCGACGCCGCCGATTATTGGTTGCAGTCTGAACAGATCGTCATTAAAAACGATCTGTTGTGGAGTTGCGTTCCCCATTGAATCGCGTCGGCCGACGACCGTCGGGCGCAGCGAGTGCCCGGCTTTAAAAATAATACAAAATATAGGAATCTAAACCAATGGTTTACATCTCTCATCACAGTATGTGTCCTTCATCTTTTAATGTTCGTTGACATAGACGAGCCCCTTGGTACTGTACAAAATTCACCCTTCACCCGATGTGACAACATTACACACCCTTCCACAAGCACATTAAATAATTTGATATTATCACAGTTCCTATGAACGGAACTAGACTTTCTTTAAGATTTATAAGTACCGAAACTAAATGAATGTTGGTGATTATTGAATATAACCTTAATCTGTCCAGTGACAGAAATCATAACTGTTATTCTTATGAGATAAATTGTGACAATAACCTTTTTGAAACATCTAGGAAAATAAATCTTTATAAACTTCTAAATAAATGATTTGTCATGTCGGCAATTGACACATTAATGTTGTTCACAAGAGTTTTTGATTTCTTTCCTGATGTGTACCTTATACATCTTATCCCACACGGACCCGTAAACTATTCTTGCAATTTGTTTTTGTGACCCGTTTATGACATTTCCCAACCCTGTTGGGCTTTTCTGATGTTCTGCAGTCATCAAAACTCTGACAAGTTTGAGTTTTGTTTTTAATGAATCTTTATGTCTGTTACTGAAACATTACTTTAAGTATTACAGTTATGATTTATAAATATTCCTCCATAAATTAGAACTGATAGCGGTATTTAGTTTCAATCTGCGTATGAAATATAGTGCGAGTAAATGGAGTAATCAGGCGACAGCCAGGTGAAACTAATACCGAGATTCCAAAGCAAGATATATTTTCATTTGCTGATTTTAATTAGTATTTATGAGATTCCAAAGTTTTTGTCTACTCAATGGTTTAATGTGACTATCATTCAATGTGCATGTGTGACATTCATAATTTTTATAGGCCTGCCTTGGTCTATATTGTATACATAGGCTACAGAAATACATACATCACAGGGGTGGATTTGTGGGGGAGGGGTGGATTAGGGTGGCCTCTCATTTTGCAAAGTTAAAAAAAAAGAAGAAAGAAAGAAATAATGGATCGCCCAAAACGCCTCAGAGGATATTTTCGGGCGTCTAGAAAGCATTCGTGGGGCATGCCCCCCGGACACGATGGGTAGTGTTGTCTCGATCGGCCCCACTTTCGCACCCCTCCTTTTCGGACATCTCTGGACCCGCCCCTGCATCATTACCAAATTCGTACATAAAAACCTTCAGAAATACATTACTGTCAAATAGGCCTATTTGTTCATTTTTTATTTGGTCTATACAAACAGCATGTCGCCTATACACAAGAGGACATGAACATCATACTATCCTCGATGGCATTATCGTCATTGACGTTTTTAGTTAACCAACATAAATAAAAATAATAATTTCGATAAATAGGTCTAAAAAAAATGAACTTCAATAGTATTTGATTGATTTAAGCCATGTCCACACCGAATTTTCTTTGACAAAAATGCTGTTGTAGTCATGATGTGCCTACATACAGTATGTATGGTCATGATGTGATGTCATTATAACTATATTTAGGCATGTCACATGTTTTTGTCAAATTAAATTTGACTGTGTGGACAGAGATTTACATAAGCTCTATATCAACTGGAGATTGTTAATCATACGTTCGGAATCATATGTATCCGAATTCACTTTGTTTCCATGGAGATTATTTGTGCACCGTGCAACCCCAGAAGTTATTATGATGAATGAAACATTTATTATGGTAACCGATATGACCAACAAATCACTATTACTTAACTAATTGCTGAGAAAAGAACAAAGGCAAGTTGAGATCAAAGTAGATCTCCCCAAAGGAGCCGTAAATATATTGCGGAAAACTTGTCGGAGGAAGAAACCAGATCAGTTCGTGTGAATTGATTTTATGCTTGACTTTATGTTTTATGTTTCTTTAAACTGGCGGCTATTCAAAAAAAAAAAAAAGTGCGAGTTTAGTAACAATATCGCAGAAGGAAATATATTACTGTTTGTATGTTTGAAACTGAATTTCTTTCAATTACCGTAGTATATGCGCCTATTTGAAAAAAAAAAAACAACAAAAAAACAGGTACCGGTAACGAGTACCAGTACTTCAGTACTTTCTGTCGTACAC